GAAATCAAATGAATTAATACTTAGAAGTTAAATTAGGGTTTATGTTTCATGTTGGGGCTTATGGGTTGTGGAATAAATTTCAAGTTTTGATGTGCTACAAAACTAGGATGGAACAACTTCTAGCTCAAGTGTCAAATTGCAGAAATTTGTGAAAAGTTTTCCGTAATGTGCATGTGGTGTGCATGGCTACATCTTAATATGAGAAGCGGGAATGTTCACTAGTTATGATGCATATATGTTGTGCTCCAGAATTTAGTGAGTATGACCACAACCTAGTTGGCCTTGGCGAAAAATAAAATTAAGAAAAAGTTTAGAAGACATTAAGGATCATGTGTGTCCATGAAATAAAGACAACAAGTATTATGTTTTCCACGAGTGCGGTTAAGTAGTGATTGATATACGTAACAAAAATTTTCAAACTACCACTGTAACCTTATATACGTAACAATTATGTTTTAATTGTATCCACTATACCAATAGGTTGCCGTTAAATTTTCTCATTCGTGCGAAAAGCAGGTCGTTGCTTGATCTCCACTTCTGTGCATATCATATGCATGTACTGTACATATGATGTGCATATGGTGTGTATATAATGTATATGGTGATGACGTGATTTCAAAAAGAGAGTTGTGAGTTCTGGGTTTTTGGGTTGGCTCAGATTTGTGAGCCTATTATGTGCATGTTGTGTACATATAGAGAGCAAATCTTGAAAAATTCATCCAACAAAACACCAGCATTTAATGATTGGGCTTTGTTCCCACTCTCAATGCGAGTCTAGTGTTGGTGGTCTCGAGCCTCGATTGTTTGCCTTGCTACCTGAAAATAGACAGAAAACTCGCAGCCTGCTTGAGTTTCTATCCCAACGATTAGGGATGAGATTCGTGACAAGGCTAGGTATTTTGGACTCGTGAGGATGAGATGAAATTGGTGGTGGCTTTGATTTGGACGGTGTTGGTTGGGATGACAGTGCACTGTGTGTGCACAATGAAAAAGGGAGAGAGAGAGTGTGTGTGAGGGAGAAAGTGAGAGAAGAGAGAATGAGGGAGAGAGAGTAGAGAAAGGGAAATCAGAACATGGGAGGAAATAACCCATTTATATACAAAGGCAATTAAGTCATTTCAAGGTGTAGGAAAAATCATATTTATGTCCGATTGTTGGGCATGTCGTGTGCATGCCGTGTGCATGTTCGAAATGTCCTATTTTTATCCTAAGATTAAGAAATTGTCCTATTTCTGGGTATTGCTTAAAATATTTGGGATTTTACTTAGAGAGTATGCATATGTAGGTATTGACATGATAAGTAAAAAGAACGAATAGAAATGATAGCTTCATTAAAATGAACTCTCATACATAAATGAGTCTTGGATGAGAACATCCTAGATGTCAGAAGGATTCTCAAGACTAATAGATGACCAATTCACCTCACACCAAAACCTTGAAGCTTTGAAATTCCAAAGCTCCCAAGCAAATCCCGAAGGATCAAGAAAGCTCTCTTCGTTCTTCGTCAACCCAACCTTCAAGATCAAGCCCCAACGACCCTTTGAAGGAACTTCCACCAATTCAAGATCAAGCCCCGATAGCCCTTGAAGAAAGCGTTCATCGTTCATCATTCGTTCATCCTAAGATCAAGCCCCAACGGCCATTTGGATCAACAACATCAACAAATCCACACATCCAACCGTTCTTCAAGATAAAGCCCAAAAGCCCTTAAAGATCCATTCATCAACTGTTCATCAAGCTCAAGCCCCAAAGGCCCTTGAAGATCCGTTCATCAACAGTTCTTCAAGATCAAGCCCAAAAGCCTTGAAGATGCGTTCATCCAACCACCCTTCAAGATCAAGCCCAAAAGCCCTTGAAGATCCGTTTATCACCGTCATTCAAGATCAAGCCTCAACGGCCCTTGAAGAAACTTTCAACCGTTCATCCAAGATCAAGCCTCGACGGCCACTGGATCAATCGCACATCCACAAATACACACCTTACGGAGATCGAATCAGAGGATCAAATTTGAGAGAGATTGTAACCCAAAATCATCAAATACAAAATATTATTTTGTGCACATGTTCTTGTCTCGTTTGTTTCAGGAATTTTCGTGTTTACAATATATATTAGGAATTGTTATTAATACTCCAAAAATTTTATTCTACACTCTTTATAGGTGTATTTTTATTTGTAATTATGAAAAGTTGGAAGTGCAAAATGAGATTTGGGAAATTTTATTGAAACACATCTAACCTCTTTCTACACGCAACTTAAATTTTAAATGTTAATTGTCTATTTTACCCTATTCCATAATTACTATTAAGTACAAAATGAAATTAATAATAAAAATCAAATTTGTTAATAGACCCACATACTATAATTAAACCCTAGCATCACCCTTTGTTTATCATTCCGACTAAAATCCTAATAACTCTGATAGAGAAAAACAAGTTTTTCTATTGATGGATGATGATTTTGAAGTTTTTAATCCTCCAACTAAGGTATGATGATTTATGGATATTTTGTTTGTTTGCTTTTCTTTGGATTAAATTTCATACTTTATGAATTGTATTGTATTTCTTTTTCTCTGCCTTCTGTATGCGCCCCAAAACACCAGTACAAGAACTTTTGATTAGTACTGCAAAGACATAAAACTTGCTTCTTGGTGCAAATAAAGATTGCTCAACCTTAACCACGAACTAGCGGGTGACATGTCTTACATCTTTTTTATTCAAAATAGCTATTAACATAGCAGCAAAACACCCATCCCTATGTCACTTCAAAGTTTCTTAAAAAGTACATGAAAATGCTCGATTTAAAAAGGACTAACTTGGGGCTTGCATGACATTCTCTTGGCAAATTCAAGTCTATGGAATGATCTCTTGGATCCCATGATGGGTTGTGGTAGTAGAAAGAAAAAAAGCAACCATGGAAATGCTAGTCCTATATGACATGCAATTATAGAGGGGCAAAAGATGCCTGTTTGAACAAAAAAAAAAAAAAACATTCAATTAGAGATGTTATTTTATAAAAGAAATGGGTGTAAAGATAATTTTCTATTTTGAATTGGGTTTGAGAGGGCAGTTTATTTAATAAATTTGGGTTTAAAGAGATATTAATTCTTTAATAAAAAAAACAATATGAGTGAAGAAAGTAAGTTGGGTGTAGAAAGAGGTTAGATGAGTTTAAATATAATTTCCTATGAGATTTTTAAAGTGTTAATAACTATACAGACGATACTATCAACTTCTTTTCATAAATTCTAATTATTTTCCACTTTTCAATTTCTCCCTATTTTACTAAATGACAATTTTAAGTATTAAAGATATATAGGTTAAACTACAAAATAATTAACTCTCCTCAAAACTGTTCAACAACCATGGCATGTGGACAGTTGCTAATATATATATATATATATAAAAGGAAGGTACATAAAACACGGGGAATTGGATTTGCTTAGACGTATAGAAATTAGAAAGAAGTTAATGAGTAAGTTACGTTTTGAATGGGGAAACTTTATTTTTTATTTTTTATTTTTTATTTTTTATTATCAAAGGATAGAATTGTATTAATAATCAAATACGAATGGAAATATTTGCATCTTTTGCTAACATTAAACAAAAATTGAGGTCTTAATTCATTCTAACCATAACTTCCACCATTAATTAAGAACGTACGCCGCCACCATATAGACTACACAATTGCATTGTCGAAAGGTAAAAATAAACTTCACCAATTGGAATGATTTCATTATATTCCAAATATCAACTAAATAGACCTCCATTAACACATGTCAGACTCCACCTCCAGTACCTCCCCGGACGCATGAAATCCCCTTAAAACACACACCTGCAGCCCATGTCTTATGGCTGCCGCCTCAGCCATATCTGATGACAAGAAGTACTCCCCCCATTTCCTCCCACCATCTTTGGAATTCCTGCAAAGTCGCGCAGGACCCAACCTACTCCACCTACCTTTGTTTCCTTCTGCCATGCCGCATCAGTAATTAATTTTAACCTGCCAAACTCAGGTTTACTCTATCCCTTTGCGCTGACCGCAACCTGGGGAAACTTAACGTCCATATGCATGTTTGACTCCCTTGCAAGGGAAATGTGGTATTCAAATGAATTGCCTTGCTAGTTGGCAACAAGTATATATGATCAAATCACCAGACCTTTAATGAAAAGGGATCTCCATTTTTTTCAAAAAATTGAGATTAGGTGTGGGATTAACTCATTCGAACTATTTATTTTGTAAGTTTCGATTAATAGATCATCCTTATGAAAATTCAATTCAATCCAAAACTATTTGCCTATTTAATTATCAAGATAAATTCCATTATTTATTATATAACAAAGTATTCGTTAATTTCTTTAAACTCAATTAGATGTCTTAAACATTTCCAATTTGACTAATATTTTGCAAAGATGATCTATGAGATGCAACTTGAAAATAAATGACTCAGATCGTTAAAGTTCTATATGGCGTAGACCCCACAACTAATCCTCATTTTTATAAAAAAAAAAGAAAAAAAAAAAAAGGAATTACTTCCCTTAGACCATCTCCAACCCTTGGGCTAAAAGCCAAATTTTTTAGCCCGGAAAATTTATCTTTTAGCCCAGAAACATATTTTCTGCTCCAACCCTTCTACCCTAAAATTTTAGCCCGGAATTATTAAAGAATGAAATTAGCCTAAATTTTTTTCTTAAATCAATTTTTTTTTAAAAAAAATATGTAGATTATTGTAAATTAATTTTATGAACATTTTTATCTAAAAAAATTTAAATTCCGATAAACATTTTGCATTTAGCCCGGGGGGAAAGCTGGGGGGTATTTGGCCCAGAAATAGCATTTGGCATTTAGCCTAAAATTTTAGCATGGGTTGGAGAGTGTTTGGGGGGGGTAATTTGGGGGGTAATTTGGCTTTTAGCCCAGGGTTGGAGATGGTCTTAAAGGTTTCCATCATATCACTATTACATATATATTTCCGTCCTCCATCTTTTAATTTGTTAGTCGATCAGTTTCTAATTTGTTTCTCCTGCACTCCATCAGCCTGCAGGCTCCTGTTCTTCTCGCTGATCACGCTTACCAGGTAATGCTACCTCCATTTTTTACATATAGGCGTCCTCTTTGAGAGAGACTTCAATAAAACCGGTTTACCGTCACCATGTCCTCTCTCTCTCTCCGACTCCCTTAATGTTGAATACGTTGTGAGTAGGGGATGGACGGCTGAGATTTCTAATATTCTAGTACGATTTCTAATTTTCTAATATTTTTGTCTCACCTCTTGGACTCTTCCACAGAAGGTTCACCATTGTAAAGTTAAAATGCTAATTGCTGCATATATTTAGAGGGGTGTAGTCAAAATTAAGATTTGATAGGATTTCACAAGATTTTAATAGAGTTTAAAATCAAAGTGTAGTCAATCAAGATTTTGAAAGAGGATTTTAAAAAACTTTGAAATCATAGTGTAGTCAAATCAGGATTTGAGAGAATTTTAAAAATACATTCAAATCTATGGATAGTCAACATAGATTTTGATAGGGATTTTTAAAGTGATTATAAATAAAAAAAAATCAAAGATTTGATAGTATTTCATTAAGTTGTGAATTTTGTTGGATTTATGAGCACAAATATACATAACCAAGAGAAAAAAGAACTCCACATCAACCCGTAGGATTTCCAATCCAGCTTATTCACATTTTATCACTCCCTTCTTTCCTCTCTCACTCCTCTCCCAAACCCTAGCAGGTCGTAACAGAATCTCACGGAACTCTTGCCATCCATAAATTTGATATTTATGACTTGGGTTCTGGGAATTGGATGAAGAGATGTGTTTAGTTGGTGGGTGGTGGGTATTTGAAAAAAGAGCGGTGGGGTTTCCATGAGATGCAACTTAGAAATCATAGTGTAGTCAAATCAGGATTTGAGAGAATTTTAAAAGTACATTCAAATCTATAGATAGTCAACGTAGATTTTGATAGGGATTTTTAAAGTGATTATAAATCCAGGGTATTAAAAAAAATCAAAGATTTTATAGTATTTCATTAAGTTGTGAATTTTATTGGATTTGTGAGCACAAATATACATAACCAAGAGAAAAAAGAACTCCACATCAACCCGTAGGATTTCCAATCCAGCTTTCACATTTTATCACTCCCTTCTTTCCTCTCTCACTCCTCTCCCAAACCCTAGCAGGTCGTAACAGAATCTCACGGAACTCTTGCCATCCATAGATTTGATTTTTATGACTTGGGTTCTGGGAATTGGATGAAGAGGTGTGTTTAGTTGGTGGGTGGTGGGTATTTGAAAAAAGAGCAGTGGGGTTTGTTTAGTTGTGGTGAATTGGGTCCTCCAGGTGTTTGATAAAAAGCGCAAAAGGGTTTTTGGGTTTTTTGGAATGGGAGAATGGGACAGAAGAAGCTGAAGCGTGGAGGAGGAGGGAGTGAGAAGAAGGCCTTGAAAGACCATGGGGCCTGTGTTGGAGATGATGATAATTAATTTATTTCTGAAATATCTTAAATAAATTCAATTTATGTTGATTTAGTGTGCTTGTATTGGTTTGATGATGCTTAGAAATCTTATGAAATCCATAATCAAAATTTACACAAATCCATTGAAATCTATAATGAAAATTTATATAAATCTGTCAAAATTCATATAGGATTGAAAAGTCTATTAAAATCCTTTGAAATCCATCACTTAATAAAGTCTATTAAAATCATCTGAACCCCTGCTTAATATATAAATAAGCCCACCCGAACCATTAAACTCTGGTCCTTCTCTGCCCTCCTCAAGTACTGTAGCAAACAAATTAGTTGAAACTAATTCGATTTTAATAATTAACTAATCAGTATATCTTGATTTCTGCCCATTTTTGTTTTTACCTGTGTCTGTGTTTTCACTTTCTGCTGTTTTTACTTGCTTAGCCATATTATACATTTTCAAACTGATCTTGAAACCATTATTGGTGTCCTACTCTGAGCTAACAGAAAACTGTCATGCACCTTAAGCTAAAATTAACCTAATTTTCAGACTTTTGACTTTGAATGAATCCTTACAAATTTCTAAAAAAGAATATGCAATTAATTACATTGTACCTTTATAATTATATTTCATATAATTAACTAGTTCCCTCTGATTAATTTTCCCTATTTTTTTTATCAGGAAAATGTCTAAGCCTCAGAGTTCTCTTCCATGCCTGCTTCTGATCTTCTTCTCCGCAGCGCTCCTTCATTCCTCTCAGGCTGATGTTGGCACTGCTGCTCAGTACAGGCCCCCTTATTTACGTAAATTCTGCATAAATTTTACTCTCGTGCATCTTAAATTCTTTCTTTCTTTTTTTTATTTTTATGTTTTTGGATTTTTGCTTTATTTTCTTGAATACTTTGTGGGATTATGGAAATGTCGAGGGTCTAAATTCTGAAAGTAAAGAAATGCTAAATAGAATATCTCAAAATTATGAGCAAACGAACTTAAGAATAGCCGAAAACCATTTTTTAGCAAAAAATTGTGAAGATATACATAAATTCCAGACTATGGCTGCATAGAGTAATGCTATGAAGACATACAAAACCTTATACACTCTCTTAGGTGATCCTAAATACAAATGCTATGAAGAGGTATTAATTAGTATGACTTAGGCCATACATAGTTTATCAGTTTTGAATGTCTAAAATAACAATTTTGTTTTTGTTAACATATCCATACTAATTAATACCTTCCATGCATATAGCTACCGCCTGTGGAGGAAGTGACCAGGGACAGTTTCCTCCGGGCAACCTGTTCGTGTCCGTTGGCGAGGGGATTTGGGACAATGGTGCAGCTTGTGGAAGGCAATATCAGGTGAGGTGCATAAGCGCTCCCGTGCGAGAAACCTGCGTTCCAGGGAACACGATTCAGGTAAAGATTGTGGATCGTGCACTCTCTTCGGTGTCCCGACCTTCAAGAAGTGATGCTACCATAGTTCTCTCTACTACTGCATTTGCTGCAATCGCCAACTCTTCCGCTACATTCGTTAACATAGAATTTCAACAGTAAGTAGTATAAATATGTCATGATTTTATTTTATTTTCTGTCTTTTTCTTTGTACCACCATTGACATTAACTTTATGACTTTCGTTTGGGGACGTGAGCATGTTTATGAACACGTAATTATGGTAATTAGACAGGGGATTAGTAGGGAAACTAGCTGGTGGTCTTTTGAGGACCTTAATTGTTGTAGAAGGCACAAGAATTCAAAGTTCAGTTCTAATAATGCATGCATGATGTGTATTATGTTTTGCACAACATATATAGTTTGGTCCAGTAGTATATATAGAGGCACCAAGTTCTAAGTCAATGGACATGCTAATATCTAATTGTTAGTAATCAATAAAGTTCAAAGCCGAGGCAAATTTGAGTCAATTAAGTACGTTTGTCATGACATTTCATGAATAAATTTGGGTTAATTAACAAATCCGGAGTTGTTAACCCTATTCAAATTGCAGTCAAATTGATAGATCGAGTCACAAAACTAACAAAATGAGAATTATATATATTTAGAGAGACTTTGGATTTGGTCCCTAGTCACTGACACTTTAACTAAAACCTTAATGGTATTCAATTTTTTTATCAGAGTCCCTTAACTTTGTACACCTCATTATATTACTATCAAAATGTATATTCTATGTTTGATATTAAATCTTTTACTATAATCTTATCACAATCATTAAATTAGAGGAAAGGGGCTGGGCTGCCCTTTCAATCAATCTTCGGCTGCTCAGTGCTGCTATTGGTGCGAGTTGTAAAGAGTCTTGATCTCGAGCCGAGTTGAGACGTGATTTAATTCTCGTAATGAGAGTGAGTGTTGTGTATATATATGGCATATAAATCATAAATTTAATATCCCTCATTATATTACTATTAGAAATGGCTACAATAATAATAATTCAAAAATTTTGATTTAATAAATGGATAAAAATAATGTAACAATACAAGATAATAAACGGCAAAAGAGTATCCGTAGTGTTAAAAATTGGGACATTTTAATATAATTTTTTTTTCAAAAAAAATTTGGTACATTTACATATAACAAAAATGGTACATTTATAAAGAAGAATGGGTACATTTTAAATAAAGGGATGTGATATCCATACACCTCATTTTACTTCTCAACACTCCTTTTTAATTTTCGACCTTCGGATCGGATGAATTTAAGAAGATCAACGGACAGAAATTATTAAGGAGTGTGTGAGAAGTAAAATGGGGTGTGTGGATAGCACACCCCTTAAATAAATTATGGGTACAAGCAAAAGATTAAAAAAAATCTGAGTACAAATGGAAATTTTAAAAAATATGGGCACAAAAGAAAATTAATATATAGGTACAATTAAAACTACAAAGAAAATTATTACAAACTTAAAAACGGGTTGCAAATTAAAATTGGACACAAACTAATTAAAATAGAAATATATGATAGAAAGTTTAGGCATAAATATAAATGTCACTTCCCAGCCCGGGCTCTCACCACATCCCGAGCTCGACTCCACCGTAGCACGATATTGTTCGCTTTGGGCCCCGACCACGCCCTCACAATTTTGTTTCTGGGAACTCACACGAGAACTTCCCAGTGGGTAAATTGCTCTCGCGTGAACTTGCTTAACTTCGAAGTTTCGATGGAACCCGAAGCCACTAAGCTCCCAAAAGGCCTCGTGCTAGGTAGAGATGGGAATATACATATAAGGCTTACAGGATCCACTCCCCTGGGTGATGTGGGATGTTACAATCCACCCCCCCTTAGGGGCTTGACGTCCTCGTTGACACACTTCCAGCCAGGGATTGGCTATGATACCAAATTGTCACATCCCAGCCCGGGCCCCCACCACATCCCGGGCTCGACTCCATTGTAGCACGATATGTTCCGCTTTGGGCCCCGACCACGCCCTCACGGTTTTGTTTCTGGGAACTCACACAAGAACTTCCCAGTGGATCACCCATATTGGGATTGCTCTCGTGCGAACTCGCTTAACTTCAGAGTTCCGATGGAACCCGAAGCCAATGAGCTTCCAAAAGGCCTCGTGCTAGGTAGAGATAGGAATATACATATAAGGCTTACAGGTCCACTTCCCTGGACAATGTGGGATGTTACAATAAAGATACTAAATGTAACGTTTCTAACACTAAATGAATATATTTTAAATATAAAATTTAATTATGTTGATATATAAATATTTTATTATTGAAATAAATGATCTTCATTAAAATCCAAGAACCTTGATCAAAATTTGCAAAGAAATAAGGTTTAATCAATGAAATAGAGAGAAAATAGGAATGATAACCTATCAATGGAATAGAGAAAATAGGAATGAGAACCTAATTTCTCCTTATATTTATGATCTGCTGCCATGGAGGAGAGGGCGGAGAGAAGAAGTGGGACTTTGGATTTTAATTTCTTCGGGAAAGTTATCGATGACAATTTTTTCCATTTGGAGGGGACCCTTTGATTTTATAGAAACTTTGAGGATGGAAAGTCATTTAGTTTGGTTGCTTTGTGTGTACTTTCCAGTTTGTAATTAGTGTTTAGTTGAATTTTATTTGTATTACGGTGTGTCTTTCTAGAGAGAGCAAGACTTTGGAAATTTTGTCCTATACAAATTTGAGAAAATGAGAATTATGATTAGATCCCTCTATTATTTGATTGCGCTTACTGTCTGGTTAATGGATAACAATGTTATTATATAACCTCAAAGGGTAACAGTACGTCATCTCCACTTATAAGTGAGAGGTCTTAGGTTCGATTCTCGCCAAAAGCGAATTTGAACCACATTAATGCTAGCTCATTGTGAGGTTAAACTTATCCCTTTCCCTTAATGTATACAATATCTCTTGTTCAAAAAAAAAGAAAAAGGTAACAGTACGTACCCTTGAGAAAAGAATGGCAACGTTGAGTTTTTCCTTTCATTATTTGTATTGGTTTGTACTGGTTTTTAATATGTAAATGTGCTAATTAGACATGTACAAGAATATTATATATTAAAGAATATTCTACACTTATTTGGTCTTGTGTTTCTTCATGATAGTAAATGATCAGGTGTAATTTTTTTCTTTTGCAGGATATGAACTATGAAAGGGAAATTTTATGGTACTCTTTAAGAAAAGGGTAATGATGCTCTTTGTTGTAATAAAATTATTAATGGACGTTATGAAATTGTGTATCATCATTATTTATTTTGGATTCTTTACCTTTACTTTTAATGGGTGTTACAACATAATGTTACAAATCCAACCTCAAAATTTAAGTAAAGTACCGTTTATTAAATTACAAATAAAGTAAAATTACGCTATAATCGTCAAAGCTTACCGTTCAAAATTACCTTCTATGCTCAAATAAGTTTACATCAATGTAACCTTACATGCATAATAATCCTAAAATTTGAAGATTATACTAAGTTTGTCTCTTATGCAATAGGCAAAAATTAAAAGTTATGCAATAAGCAAAAATTCAAATGTAGTTGTCTAAGTTATAACTTGTAACATCCCCAATGCATACTGAGTCAAATTTAACCTTTAACTTTTATTTAAGCAATAAGGACGGATTAAATCAATTTAAGAGTTAAATAGAACATTGTCACAACCCGTCCCGGAATTACATTATCGTTGATGTGAAAAGACGAAATTGCCCTTAACTGTTGCTAATGTATGTGTGACATATTAAATTGAATATTGCATTCCTTCCTAAATTTTTGGAAGAAATTGAGTTGGATTAAAAATTTGATTGTATTTTGTGTGGTTAGGGGAAGGACACACATACAAAACAACCCCTCACTCTTCCTCTCTCTCCTATCCCGTATATCTTTCTTCCCTCTCAGTTTCACTCTCTCTCTCCCTTCGAACTGTACGGATACACTCACCCACGATCATCCAAGCACGGATCAAAGGTTCCAAGGGTACCATTGTACTCGTGAGGACCCTACGAACTCATCCATACCCATTTTAGGTAAGAAATCTTTCGATTTCACGTTGAAAACTCGAGGTCCGATTTGGGTACTATTCATGAACTTTGTAATGGTTGGTTTTTAGGACAATCCAAGTTCATAGTGAGCTTTAGGAGGTTTTCACGAAGCTCGGGGACGTTCGTTTGAAGGTTTTGGACGTCGGGATCACAAGGTTTGAAGGTGGTCGGTGTGATTTCGAAGGTTTTGGAAGTTTTTAAAGGTATAGCCTTTTTCCTCTCGTAATTTGTGAAGTTTTGGTGAAAATTTCATGGAAAATGGTTGAGAATCAAGCGAGAAAATGGCGATTGCAGGTTTGCCCAGTTTCCGGCACCAGCGAGTTTTTCCGACGACTGGAGGTAGAGGATGACGCGCGTGGGGGCACGTGGACCCGTGCCTATCCCAGCGCGTGGGGGCGCGTGACAAGTCCAAAAATTATTTTAAAAATACCTCGACGTCCGTGACGTCGAGTAGGTCACTGTGGTATATTCATATACCCAAATTGAGTATCGTATGAGGAGTTATTACGAATTGTCGGTTATGTGCTTTAATTAACGTTTTTATAGTTGTTTTGCATATAGGTGATACCTATCCCGAGGACGAGCGCATTCAAGGACGTCACGGGGGTTACGACCTTTCGACTTACCTGTGAGTGGGCAGTTATTTTCTATTATTACCTATATACTACTGAATTTCCCAGAAATTGAATTTAAATGAAAGTATGTTTTAAATGCCATGCATATATATATATATATATATATATATATATATATATGAAATATATGAATTAGTAATTGTTGCATATATATGTTAAATGGTGCTGTGGACGCACAGGTGAGTATCAGGTGAGTTTATATTGTTCATATGATTTATTGATGATGTGAATTGTGTTGAGAGCTCATAACTTACACCCTTGGTGTTAGTACTGATATTATTCACCCCGCACCACACGCTTACCTTGGATCCAAGTAGGTGCATGTCGTACAGACCATGAGAAGGTTCCGACATGTCGTACAGACCATAGAGTGGTTCCGACTGTAGGTGATTTTAGATTATTATACAGCTGTTGATGAGAGAAGCACTAGAGCGTATTCTTACACCTTTCTTATCGTACAGACTACTTCAGGTAGTTCCGATTTATGTGTAGAGTAGCGCCGTACAGGTCATTGCGGTGACTCCGGTTGGATTGGATATTGAGCTTTAGAATTAACCGTACAGGACCAACTGCAGGGTCTCCGGTTGATTCATTATTTCACTTTGTTATATTGATGCATCCTTATTCTGTTATTGACATTTATGCATGGCATACTTTCTGATTTTTGATAAAGAATTGTGATTTGAGATATATGAAGATTATATGCATATTATGTTACTTTCTGGGAAAGTATACAGGTTTTACAGCGAGGGGTTAGAAATATTATTAATTGAAATGTTTTCAAAAAACTTTGTTTTACTGACCGACTCAACTTTGTTTTGCGCCTTTCCAGGTTCTAGTTAGCAGCATTGGTGGCCCACGAGGATTCCCATGGCATTCTGACAGACTACTCATGTAGGACTCACTTTCGGGTGTTGTAATTTAGTAATGTTCCTACTTGACTGCACCTAGTACTTATGCTCTGAATATGTGTGTTTCACAATTAAACTTGCTCTAACATGCTAGTTGGATATTATTGCTAGTATTTGGTTTTTATTTCTTCGTATTTCTCTTACCTATTGCTTCCGTGTCACATTTTTTGTTACGTCACACTTACGTGACGGCCAGCACGCCTTGATTCTAGGATCAGGGTGTGTCAGTTTGGTATCAGAGCCTAGGTTGCAGTCCTATATAAATTGTTAATGCTCTAATGATCTTTTGATGTCTTCTGTCAGAACTATGCCGCCTCGTAGGGAATCACGTCGTGCTTCTAAGCCTAATTTCCCTCATATAACTCAATTAAGGGAAGCGATGGCCCAAGCCTTTCAGAATGCAATCCGTCATCCTCCTACTTAGAGAACACCCCTGAAGACTATGTATAATCTGAAATTAGACCGCTTCATGGGTAATGAGGGTCATGAAGGGGCAGAAAAGTGGTTAGACCATATTGAGAAGACTTTTGAGGTGATGTAGAGTTAAGGAAATCTTCCTGCTAATAGATGGGTTGAGACCACTACTTGGTTTTTAGGACGAGAGCCAGCAGCTTGGTGGGCAAATCAGACTGAGTTTATGTCACCTGAGATGGCAACTGATTAGGAAGTATTCAAAGAGAATTTTAAGAAAAGATTTGTTCCTCCGAAGTACATTGATCGTAAGAAGCAGGAGTTCACTTAATTGAAGCAAAAGAATATGTCGGCGCATGAGTATTACAGGAAGTTTACAGACTTATCTCGTTATGATCCTAATACAGCTGGTAATCAGGCAGAGATGCTTCGTCGTTTTAAGCTGGGAACTAAGAGGAAATGGTGGACTTTTACTAGTGCGCTTCCTTGTACCACTTATCATGAGTTTTATGAGATTTTGGTTCAGATGGAGGATTCCAACAACCTTCCTAGTAATAGTGAGGATGATGAAGATAAGAATGATAATCAGAAGAAAGATGATAGGGGTAAAGGTATCTCCACTCAGGGACCCCGTAAGACGTAGAATTTCAAGAAAAGTGGAGCGAGCTCGAGTTCTTCCAGGGGAGGATTTAGTGTCACAGGCCCGAGGAAAGGTGGAAGATTTGCTGGTGGACCCAGGTTTCAGAGACAGAGAGACTTTGGTGGTGCTGGTGGTTCTGGTGCTCCATTGTGTCGCCGTTGTAATTTCAGACATCATGGAGAATGTAGAAGAAGTGGTGGTGCTTGCTACACTTGTGGACAGTTGGGACATAGGGCTGCTCAGTGTCCCCAGAGTCAGCAGAGGTCTTAGCAGTCTACTATGCCACCTCCAGCGCCGATTCAGCAGAACTTTGGGTCAGGCAGTTATGGTTAGATGGGTCGTGGTGGTGCTTACCACTATCAGGGTGATGCTGCTCCCTATGCTTCCGGACAGAATCAGTATTCCTAGGATCCTTATTTTTAGACTGGGTATTCCCAAGATCCTGGAGGTTATACTTCATATCCTTCCATGCCAGCTAACGGATCTCAATGGCATCAGGGAAGTCAGCCCCGACAGGGAGAGGTTGATGCTAGCAGTGCAGGGCCGTCTAGGCAGTCTAATTAGCCAGGACAGGGACGTACTTCTCATGGGCGAGGTAACCAAGGTAACAGAGGTCGTGGTAGACGACAGCAAGCTCAGGGACTTGTTAATTACATCTCACTGCAAGATGCTCAAAATCATCCAGATGTGATTATGGGTACGTTAAATATTCTTGGTCATTTTGCTAGAGTTTTGATTGATTGTGGTGCTACACATTCTGTGATTTCTCATACGTTTGCTCAAATGACACAACCTCACCCTACACCTCTGGGATTTGATTTAGAGTTTGCTATGCCTAGAGGGGACAAATGTTACGTTGATAGTGTTTATCCAGGGTGTCCAGTGATGGTAGATGGTGTAGTTATGCCAGCTAATCTTATCCCGTTAGATATTGTGAATTTTGATGTGATTTTAGGGGCGGATTGGTTGCATTATAATCGTGCCCATATAGATTGTTACGGGAAATCAGTTACTTTTCATCGTCCTGGACTACCAGAGGTTACTTTTATGGGTGAAAGAAGTGGGGTGAGACATGGTGTTATTTCAGCCATGAGAGCAAATAAGTTGTTATCGAAAGGTTGTCAAGGATACTTAGCACATGTGGTGTTAAATGATGTTGTTCCTAGCAGTGTGGGGGAAGTTGGAGTAGTCAGGCACTATCCTGATGTATTCCCAGATGATTTGCCTGGATTACCGCCTGATAGAGATGTGGAGTTTTCTATTGATTTGCTTCCAGGTACGGATCCTATATCTTTGACTCCCTATAGAATGGCTCCAACGGAATTGAGAGAATTGAAAATTCAAGAATTAACTGATAAAGGTTTCATTCAACCTAGTACTTCACCTTGGGGAGCTCCGATGTTATTTGTAAGAAAGAAAGATGGAACTTTGAGATTGTGTATTGATTACAGGCAATTGAATCGGGTAACGATTAAACCCCTTATCCATTACCTCGTATCGATGATTTATTTGATCAGCTTAAAGGTGTGTGTGTGTTCTCTAAGATTGATTTGAGATCTGGCTATCATCAGTTGAAAATTAAAGATGAAGATGTACCTAAAACGGCTTTCAGGACTCGTTATGGACATTATGAGTTTTTGGTGATG